TTTAAACCATTTTTTTTTATTAAAAAAAATCTGACTACACGGGGGATCGATCCACCGACCCAGAGATTACCAGTTGGCGCCTTAGACCGCTCGGCCACGAGGACATTTAATAATCATTTACAAGATGATGTATATAATCAACGTCATTCTACGTGATATTTTGTCATTTGCAACTACACATGCGCAATGCCAAAAGGACCTAAGCGTGTATCTTTATTGCTATTCAAACGGGACAAACAGCATTCAGCGTGAACTGAAATCTAGCAGTCATTTCCAACGAAAGAATTACCATCAAAGTCAAAAGGGCATTAACGCTTATAGTGTGTGATACCTCGTTGGAAAGGTCTTAACGTACAGAGTAAGGGAAAAATAACCAAAAAATTCCTACCCTCCTTCACCCCCACAACCCCCTCATGCTTATAAAATATGGTCGGTACATGTGATACATCGTTGGAAAGGTCTTTACGTACATAGTAAGGGAAAAATAATGAAAAAAAAAATCCACCTACCCTCCTTTACCCCCCACGACCCCCTCATACTTATAAAATATAAAACGTGTGATACGTCGTTGAAAAGGTCTTAACGTACACAGTAAGGGAAAAATAATGAAAAAATTAAATCTCCTTTAACAGAAAAATCATGCGCAATGCCATAAGGACCTTAGCGTGTATCTAAATGGGGGGGTATGTGCACCGAAAAGTTTGACGTTTGACGACTGACGTTTGACGTTTGAAGTTTGACGTTTGACGTTTCACGTTTGACGTTTGACGTTTGACGTTTCACGTTTGACGTTTGACGTTTAACGTTTGACGTTTGACGGTTAGTTTCTGCTAGTATCAAGCGTCAAGGTTAACAACCCAGATCTCCGAGAGGAGGCGTATCCTACACCCAGCAATATTTTTTTTTAAAGTAAAATAAGTATAGTATTCAGTATTGAGATCTTTGCATCTAAAGCACCTACAAACAAACAGACTTCAGATTATTGATTCATAAGTCAAACAGATTAGTTTGATATCCAACCAAACACTCTAACTCAAAAAATATTTCTAACAACATGTTTTAACAGCAATTCCTTGAATCGCATATTAAACTACACTACATATTAAAATTTTAGAGCTACATGCTGAATGGTCACGTGGTTGACCTAATATATGTTGTAAAACGTTATTAGATACCTAAGGAGTTTAATGGTACCGTCAAACTTCTTATCGCATTTTGATCTGGAGGAAGTTTAGTTATAGACGCAATATGAAAAATTTTGATGCCATTGTATTCTATTTGCTTCACAATATACATTACAGGTTTTGTTTACTCGACCAAATGTCTTTTCCAGGTTAAAAAGGTTGTATCTTTGCATCTAAAGCACCTACAAACAAACAGACTTCAGATTATTGATTCATAAGTCAAACAGATTAGTTTGATATCCAACCAAACACTCTAACTCAAAAAATATTTCTAACAACATGTTTTAACAGCAATTCCTTGAATCGCATATTAAACTACACTACATATTAAAATTTTAGAGCTACATGCTGAATGGTCACGTGGTTGACCTAATATATGTTGTAAAGCGTTATTAGATACCTAAGGAGTTTAATGGTACCGTCAAACTTCTTATCGCATTTTGATCTGGAGGAAGTTTAGTTATAGACGCAATATGAAAAATTTTGATGCCATTGTATTCTATTTGCTTCACAATATACACTAGAGGTTTTGTTTACTCGACCAAATGTCTTTTCAAGGTTAAAAAGGTTGTATCTTTGCATCTAAAACACCTACAAACAAACAGACTTCAGATTATTGATTCATAAGTCAAACAGATTAGTTTGATATTTAACCAAACACTCTAACTCAAAAAATATTTCTAACACCATGTTTTAACGTCAATTCCTTGAATAGCATACTAAACTACACTACATATTAAAATTTTAGAGCTACATGCTGAATGGTCACGTGGTTGACCTAATATATGTTGTAAAACGTTATTAGATACCTAAGGAGTTTAATGGTACCGTCAAACTTCTTATCGCATTTTGATCTGGAGGAAGTTTAGTTATAGACGCAATATGAAAAATTTTGATGCCATTGTATTCTATTTGCTTCACAATATACATTACAGGTTTTGTTTACTCGACCAAATGTCTTTTCCAGGTTAAAAAGGTTGTATCTTTGCATCTAAAGCACCTACAAACAAACAGACTTCAGATTATTGATTCATAAATCAAACAGATTAGTTTGATATTTAACCAAACACTCTAGCTCAAAAAATATTTCTAACACCATGTTTTAACGTCAATTCCTTGAATAGCATATTAAACCACACTACATATTAAAATTTTAGAGCTACATGCTGAATAGTCACGTGGTTGACCTAATATATGTTGTAAAGCGTTATTAGATACCTAAGGAGTTTAATGGTACCGTCAAACTTCTTATCGCATTTTGATCTGGAGGAAGTTTAGTTATAGACGCAATATGAAAAATTTTGATGCCATTGTATTCTATTTGCTTCACAATATACACTAGAGGTTTTGTTTACTCGACCAAAAGCCTTTTCAAGGTTAAAAAGGTTGTATCTTTGCATCTAAAGCACCTACAAACAAACAGACTTCAGATTATTGATTCATAAGTCAAGCAGATTAGTTTGATATTTAACCAAACACTCTAACTCAAAAAATATTTCTAACACCATGTTTTAACGCCAATTCCTTGAATAGCATATTAAACTACACTACATATTAAAATTTTAGAGCTACATGCTGAATGGTCACGTGGTTGACCTAATATATGTTGTAAAACGTTATTAGATACCTAAGGAGTTTAATGGTACCGTCAAACTTCTTATCGCATTTTGATCTGGAGGAAGTTTAGTTATAGACGCAATATGAAAAATTTTGATGCCATTGTATTCTATTTGCTTCACAATATACATTACAGGTTTTGTTTACTCGACCAAATGTCTTTTCCAGGTTAAAAAGGTTGTATCTTTGCATCTAAAGCACCTACAAACAAACAGACTTCAGATTATTGATTCATAAGTCAAACAGATTAGTTTGATATCCAACCAAACACTCTAACTCAAAAAATATTTCTAACAACATGTTTTAACAGCAATTCCTTGAATCGCATATTAAACTACACTACATATTAAAATTTTAGAGCTACATGCTGAATGGTCACGTGGTTGACCTAATATATGTTGTAAAGCGTTATTAGATACCTAAGGAGTTTAATGGTACCGTCAAACTTCTTATCGCATTTTGATCTGGAGGAAGTTTAGTTATAGACGCAATATGAAAAATTTTGATGCCATTGTATTCTATTTGCTTCACAATATACACTAGAGGTTTTGTTTACTCGACCAAATGTCTTTTCAAGGTTAAAAAGGTTGTATCTTTGCATCTAAAACACCTACAAACAAACAGACTTCAGATTATTGATTCATAAGTCAAACAGATTAGTTTGATATTTAACCAAACACTCTAACTCAAAAAATATTTCTAACACCATGTTTTAACGTCAATTCCTTGAATAGCATACTAAACTACACTACATATTAAAATTTTAGAGCTACATGCTGAATGGTCACGTGGTTGACCTAATATATGTTGTAAAACGTTATTAGATACCTAAGGAGTTTAATGGTACCGTCAAACTTCTTATCGCATTTTGATCTGGAGGAAGTTTAGTTATAGACGCAATATGAAAAATTTTGATGCCATTGTATTCTATTTGCTTCACAATATACATTACAGGTTTTGTTTACTCGACCAAATGTCTTTTCCAGGTTAAAAAGGTTGTATCTTTGCATCTAAAGCACCTACAAACAAACAGACTTCAGATTATTGATTCATAAATCAAACAGATTAGTTTGATATTTAACCAAACACTCTAGCTCAAAAAATATTTCTAACACCATGTTTTAACGTCAATTCCTTGAATAGCATATTAAACCACACTACATATTAAAATTTTAGAGCTACATGCTGAATAGTCACGTGGTTGACCTAATATATGTTGTAAAGCGTTATTAGATACCTAAGGAGTTTAATGGTACCGTCAAACTTCTTATCGCATTTTGATCTGGAGGAAGTTTAGTTATAGACGCAATATGAAAAATTTTGATGCCATTGTATTCTATTTGCTTCACAATATACACTAGAGGTTTTGTTTACTCGACCAAAAGCCTTTTCAAGGTTAAAAAGGTTGTATCTTTGCATCTAAAGCACCTACAAACAAACAGACTTCAGATTATTGATTCATAAGTCAAGCAGATTAGTTTGATATTTAACCAAACACTCTAACTCAAAAAATATTTCTAACACCATGTTTTAACGCCAATTCCTTGAATAGCATATTAAACTACACTACATATTAAAATTTTAGAGCTACATGCTGAATGGTCACGTGGTTGACCTAATATATGTTGTAAAACGTTATTAGATACCTAAGGAGTTTAATGGTACCGTCAAACTTCTTATCGCATTTTGATCTGGAGGAAGTTTAGTTATAGACGCAATATGAAAAATTTTGATGCCATTGTATTCTATTTGCTTCCCAATATACACTAGAGGTTTTGTTTACTTGATCAAATGTCTTTTCAAGGTTAAAAAGGTTGTATCTTTGCATCTAAAACACCTACAAACAAACAGACTTCAGATTATTGATTCATAAGTCAAACAGATTAGTTTGATATCTAACCAAACACTCTAGCTCAAAAAATATTTCTAACACCATGTTTTAACGTCAATTCCTTGAATAGCATATTAAACCACACTACATATTACAATTTCAGGAAAATCAGAGCTACATGCTGAATAGTCACGTGGTTGACCTAATATATGTTGTAAAACGTTATTAGATACCGAAGGAGTTTAATGGTATCGTTAAACTTGCGCACCAAGAGAATACGCTGAAGAAAAATAAATTGATTGTAACCATTAAGACACCACCCTGTATCATGCATTATAAAATTTAATTTTAAACAAAATAATATAGTCTCGCTGATAACAAAACCACATTTGTTGAAACTTGAAAATTGATAAAATATTTCCCAGACAGTTACACGGGAAGTTAGAATTTGATAAGAAAGTTCTCAAAACAATAAAACCACATTTACAGGAAGTTATAATTCTGTTAAGAAAATTCTCAACCGCATTCACAAGAAATGTTTACTGATATAGCAGTTGTTTTTGAATAAAAGACTATTCATTGACGTCACAACAACGCAGATATAAGACCTGGAAAACACATCGTTTCTCAGTTTACGTCTCACCAGCACCGTGAACAGTAGCAGCAAGAACAGATCGCCGCAGCAATCCACAACAACAGCAACAAATATTTGGTGTGTGTTAAAGTTAATATACAGTGACGTTAAGGTAAGAAATATATATTTTATTATTAGGTTTTCATCATCTTTTGTTTTCTATCAAATTTAATTATAATTTATCCTCTAAATAGTAGATTTTTCTCAATCTCTTTGCTTTTGAAGCAATTTTAAAGTTTACTGACTCTCTACTTTCTATGTAAACGATTTTTAGTATATTTTTTAATTTCTTTTTGTAAATACCAGATTTTGTTTTTGAATTTAATCATAATTTTTCGTTCTATGTAAACGATTTGAACGTATTTTTAATATTTTGCTATAATTTTCTAAATATTTTTAATCAAAATTTTTTAAATTGAGAGAACTTTTTATTCAAAACGTGTATTTTTTTTTTATAGATGGATACATCAAAACTTAACGAGGTATCTTTAATTACAGAAAGGAAACATAAACCAATAATTAAATTGAATACTCTACCTATTGGAACTCCATTTAAAATTATCCAGTCAAAAATAATACAAGGGAAATTTGGCCCAAGCATTTTGGTTGAACTGGAGCACGGTGTAACATTTTTACCACAACGGGTTGTAGAAACTTACAAACCATACCTACATCACCTCACAGACAGGCAGTACAGTCTCACATTCAGAGGAACCGTTGACACAGGAAAACCGCATCCAGCTGCATCTTTTGAAATTGTCGAAAATTAAGGATAAAAGGGTAAGCGATTTTTTTTTAATATTTTTTATTTGCCAGTGTTAAAATGAATCCTTTTAGTGTTATTAAACAATCTGACGGGGTATTGTCGGCTATAAAAAACTTAGAAAAATTTTATTCGATAATTTTACAATTAGAGATGCTGAGGTTTGGCTAAAACGACTACAAAGACAGATTACATCATGTAATAAAGCAATTCGTAGTAGACGGCAATATAATTTATCTATTGGTGCTCTACGTAAATTGGAAACTAATGTGGGACATTTTAAACATTTTAGAAAATTAATTTTGAATAGACATATTGGTATGGGCATACAATCAAAATTGGGGCAACGCGTAAAATGGGCTAATGTAGAATCTAGTTTTAAAAGTAGAGCTACAACCGGAATTATAGTTAATTTACGTCATAAAGACTTAGATTCATTTTTGGATGATTGTGTAGTTATTTTTAAAAATAAAATTAATAAATTTTTAAAAGCAAATCAAGCACTTAAAGCTAATACTACATTTTGTGGCGAATTCATCAAAAAATCTAACGATAATGAGATTTTAGATTTAAAATATTTCAATACTAAAAATGCTGTTATTGATAAATCGACAGTAAACGTAAATAAATATGAAATGGATGAAATTTTAAAAAAACAAGCTTACATTAATATTAAAAATACCGATCAGGCTTTCTGCACATAATTTCAGATCGCAGCGAATTGTGTTTTTGTAATACAAGGTCTTCTTCACCCCTTACAAAAAGCACACGGTTGGATGTTGAGAATTCTTCTTAAAACAAATTGTAGCAAGAGGTTTGTTAACCAACGATATATATGGTTGCACACAGAACTCGCGATGAAAATCGGAGAATCGAAACGATTAAAGTGTATCTTTGTAGGGTTGTATATGTAGACTAATACGATGGGTATATTTACATTTTACTGGCTAATTATGTTTAATTTTAGTAAAGTCTCAGCTATTTTAGAAAGGGTAAAATTCATAGATTTGATTGTTAAAGTTCTTTATAAATCTAGACAATTTTTAGCAATAAAAAGGAAAAAACAGAAGATTCTGTAGGGATGGAGAGGAAACATTTCATTTTTACTTAGTTTTTAAATTTAAACAATTTAACTAATAAAAATGGAAAAAGCAGTAGGATGGAAAAATGAAAACATTTAATTTTTCTACTTTTTTTAAATCTACACAATTTTAATTATTAAAAAGGAGAAAACTATAGGTTCGTTAAGGAAGAAAACATTTTATTTTTCTACTTTCTAAATCTGAACAATTGTATTTATTAAAAAGGGGGAGAACTGTAGGATCTGTAAGGAATGAGAGGAAACATTTATTTTTCTTTGTAAATCTAGATAATTTTAAATAATAAAAAAGGAGAAAGCAGTAGAAATGAAGAAAAGAAAACATGTTATTTTCTACTAAAAAGTTCTTTCTAAATCTAGAAAACTTTTTAATAATATTAATTCTACTATTAAATATGAAGGAAACTGTGGATTCTGCTAGAAAGGGGAGAAAGCATATATGTTTTCTCGAAATAATTATATATCATTATGATATATTCAACGCCGTCTTCTTTATAGAATCTTTCAAGAGGTACGTCTCTAGTATTTTTCAACATTTGCTTATTGATTCGTATTTCTTCGTGCTTGTTTTGGCTTTGTTCTCACAATTTTCGTCTTTGTTCAACAGCATTTTTAAAACTATTAGATTTTGTCTTATTTTTAAATAGAGGTCTAATGATGGAACTAAACTATAATTTGTCAGCTTAATGCCTTAAATGCCCTCTTGAAACAAGGTGGGCGCGAGGTATATCCAAAAATTTGTTTGTAAAGTTGATGGTCCTTAGGAGTTAAATTTGTTGGTTTCTTAGAAAATAATAATTCATATAAACCAGGAGTAGCATTAAACTTGGTATCACCTAGAACTATATTATGTTTATCAAATTCTAGTTCCTTAGTACCCATTAGCCATTTATTATCTATATAAACAAGTCCTTAACAGTTATCATAATTGATACATTTTTAGCCATAATTTTCTAGATATTAGTTTTTTTCTGCCTCGTTTACTTCAACTATTTGTTTTAATGGTTCTATCACACTGTTTAAAAAGTTCAGTTCTTTTCTATCAACTTCCATTTTCTTCAGGGAGTTATACTTTTTTGAATAACACGTCTAAGTTCTACAATTTTTCGTTTACGTGCTGCATCCACTGACATCTTCATAAAATCTAATGTATTTTTATGGTAACACACACTAATTTATACTGTGACCTACGGTCTTCGACTCTTTTTTAGAGAGGTCTTCAGACATCTTTATAAAATATATTGTATTTTTGAGGTAACACACTAATTTATACCGTGTTCTTTTACGGTGTTCGACCCCTCTTTAGACGTCTTCAGATATCTTCTGAAACGTTGTTCAGAGGTCTTTAGAAACGTTCTTCAGAGCTCTTCAGGTGTCTTCTGAAACGGTCTTCAGATGTCTTCAGAGGTCTTCAGAAGTGTTCTGATGTCTTTAGATACGTTCTACAGAGGTGATCAGATGTCTTTAGATACATTCTTCAGATGTCTTTAGATACATTCTTCAGATGTCTTTAGATACATTCTTCAGATGTCTTTAGAAACGTTCTTCAGAGGTCTTCAGATATCTTCTGAATCGTTCTTCGGAGGTGTTCAGATGTCTTCAGAGGTGTTCACATATCTTCTGAATCGTTCTTCAGAGGACTTTAGAAACGTTCTTCAGAGCTTTAGGTGTCTTCTGAAACGGTCTTCAGATGTCTTCAGAGATATTTAGAAACGTTCTTCAGAGCTCTTCTGGTGTCTTCTGAAACGGTCTTCAGATGTCTTCAGAGGTATTTAGAAACGTTCTTCAGAGCTCTTCAGAGGTCTTCAGAGGTGTTCAGATGTCTTCAGATATATTCTTTAGATGATTTTAGATATATTTAGACGTCTGCAGAGGTCTCCTGAAACGGTTTTTAAAACTTACATCAGCATTGAACGTAGAAAAACATACTTTGTTGAAGCAAATCCTACATTATTAGAGTAACAGATTCATGATTAACATGTCATATGGTCTTACGACTTCAAAACTCACGAAAATATGAGACATATTTCCAAAAAATCCCAAAAGATACAATGAATGACGTAATACCCGTTTTCTCTTCAAAATTAATCGTTCTCTACATAAAGTCGTTTGTTCCGTTTAAATTGGGCCAATAGCAATAAAGTTTGATGTTTTTGTCTATTTTACTGTTTACTACTTTTTATCTTCGGCGTTAATCTACGGCTCGTTTCCTTTACAATGTCATTTTTTCTCGTATAACTCTATTCGATAATGAAAATATTAATTATTATAGAAAGTTTTATTACCCAAAATTTACAATTTTAAAATTATACAATTATTATCTTATATCATTATATTAAATATTCAATTGTCTTAACAAAAAAAAATGTTAGATTCTTCCGCTTCTATAAATAAAAAATCGTTGCTTTCAATGACACGTCTAGAATTGTTTTTCTCATTGATCAATTTTATTTTCTCTCTAAGATGACAAAGACTAAAGCTGCTCATTTATTGTTGTTAAAAACTTTACTTTGAAATTATAAAGTTTATGAACGTTATACATGTGTTTATAAATGCATGTTCGGCCCATTACTTTTCCACATTCTTCACATTGAACAGGTTTCCGATCATATGTCCACTGCCATTTGTTAAAGTCCTCGTAATTGTCCCATGAGTTTGAGTTAAATGGAATCCATTTTCCGAAATTTCTGCCTTCCGTAATATAACATTTATCACAGTGTACTCGTCCTGTATCAGGATACGTCTTGTGACAACGCTCACAAATCTTCTCCATGTCTGCTCAGTACGACAAGTAAATATAGAATGAACTAGAAACAATTTTTGTGGTCCATACATAGACATTCAAAATTAATGATACCCCCCACCTCTCAATAGTTTAATTACAATACATCAATAGGGAAGTATAGGATATAAATTTATTAATAATTGAGAAGCATTTGACACTTTTTCTCGTTTTTATACGATGAAGAAATAATTGATTTCTACAGATCGCAGTTCTCTCATTTCAAAATGTCTCCTAAAAAAGTGTTCAATTTGACGATTAGCGTTAAAATGCACCATTTTTACATGTTTTCTTATGGCGGACAACACAGGGGCCTTTTGAAAACATTTTTAAAATCATTCAGTCTTCCGTCCGACCAAAAGTTTACCTTATACCTATTAACTTTTGTCATTCTATTTCAGATCGTTGTGGTGTTCAGTCGTGTTTGCTGAAGTTCTTGGTGAGATTTTTAGAAAATTTTGAATTTTTTTATATTTTCAATTTTATTGATTTTTTTTTTGTGTACAATATTTTTAGTTTTGAATTTCAAAATATGTCCACTGTTCAAAAGTTTAATATTGTCAAGGATGCATCAAAAAAGATCCATCGTTTTAGACTGCATGGGCGTACGTTGGAGTTTAAAATTAAAGATATACCTCACGGTACGGAACCTGTGGGGTGGGTAAAAGACGCAATCACCCAAATTGTCCTTAAAGGAACGGAGGGTGTCAAATCTACCGATATGGTAGGATTCACGTTCTGTTCTAAGGATTTTGCCAGAGGGCAGGGGTGGATGCGTTTTAAACCCGCTGCTGAGGTGTCAGTTGATGATGTATGGGAGAAAATATCTTCCATATATCAATCCAACTCCACTGGGTTAAATACAGAAACTTTCTGTTTAGGGATTACATCGGTTGAGATGCCTGTCGGTAAGGGTGGTCCTAGAGGACGAAATTATAATACTTTTAATGAAGAATGTGCTAAACGTCGTGGTATTGTTTCAATTAACAACAAAGATAACTTGTGTCTACCTCGTGCTCTTTCTGTCGCCAAAGCCTACGTAGACAAAGATCCGGAAGCGAGAAAGATTCGCCGGGATATTGGACAATTACAAGGGAAAAGAGCCCGTGAATTAATGACCTCCGCCGACGTCTCCATACCCGAGGAAGGGGCTGGAATACCCGAACTACAACAATTCCAAAGACATTTACAAGATTATAAAATAACAGTATACACTTATGGTTCTAAGGGTCGTGATGTTATCTTTGAGGGTAACGGTGTTGGACCCCCGTTAAATTTGCTTCATCATGAGGGTCATTACAATGTCATTGTGTCTTTAAAGGCAACTTTTTGTTGTGGTTATTTTTGTGATGAATGTCATATTCCTTATAATGATAAGAAAGCGCACAGATGCGGGGGAACGTGTCCTGGATGTCGACAGTCGCCTTCTTGTTCCAGTGAGGAGCTGGCCGTAAAATGTGATTCTTGCAAAAGGTCTTTCCGTGGCCAGAAATGTTTTGACAATCACTTGCAACATAGTATCTGTACGCAAATACGTCGTTGTGAGGATTGTTTTAAAGTTGTGCCCACCAACAGAAGACATACCTGCGGAGAGATATTTTGCAAGATCTGCAATAAACATTGTCCAGCCGATCATCTTTGCTACATTCAGCCTGACACTCGTTCACCACCCACCAAAGATTTCCTTTTCATCTTTTATGATCTCGAAACCCGTCAAGAGACAACTCGTCAGGAAGTTGTTTCGAAAAATGGCAAAGATGAAGTCAGAACATCTCTTCTTCACGAACCTAACCTTTGTGTTTCCAATCAGTGCTGTCATCATTGTATTCAAGAAACCAAACTTGTTTTCTGTCAGCCGTGTGGATTCAGACAAAAAATTTTTAGTGATGAGGATGTAATCTCTAATTTTTTAGATCATATTTTCACATTTCGAAAAAAATTTAAGAATGTCACTGTTTTAGCTCATAACGGAGGTGGTTTTGACCATCAATTTATTTTCAAATACATTCTCAGCAAGACTGATATTACTCCTGATTTAATTATGCGCGGTACAAAGCTTATTTCGATGACCGTTGGCAATATCAATTTCATTGATTCATTAAATTACTTTCCGATGGCCCTCTCCAAACTTCCAAAGGCCTTTGGTTTCTCCGAGTTGAAAAAAGGATACTTCCCCCACCGTTTTAACACTGTAGCTCATCAGAATTATGTGGGGCCTATGCCTCCTCTCGAATATTATGACCCAGATAATGTAAAAGATGAAAAGGCCAAAGAGGCTTTAGTTAAATGGTATGCTGAAAAAGTTGAACAAAATTATGTCTTTGATTTTCAAAAAGAGATTGTGGACTATTGTATCTCTGACGTGAATATTCTAGCACAATCATGTCTCAAGTTTAGAGACTTGGTAATCAAAGAAACAAACGTATGCCCGTTTATGGAAGCTACAACAATAGCGTCGAGCTGTAACAAAGTCTATCGACGCAACTTTCTCAAACCAAATACCATTGGTATAATTCCCAAAAGAGGGTACAGATGGCGCGATAATCAATCTAAAGTCGCTATACAATGGTTAGTTTGGGAGGAACACCAAAGAGGTGTTAATATTCATCATGCTGCTAAAGGCGAAGAGGTTCGAGTTGCTGGAGTAAAAGTAGACGGGTATTGTGAGGACACTAAACAGGTGTTTGAATTTGAAGGTTGCTATTACCACGGGTGTCCTCGTTGTTTTACGTATCAAAGAGATACTCCCCTACATAAAGATCCTAGCGAAACATTAAATAGTAAATACGACACAACGCTGGCTAAGAATGAACGACTTCGCTCTCTGGGATATGAAGTTATTGAGATGTGGGAGTGTGATTTCAAGCGTCGGCTAACTGACAACAAAGAGTTGCAAAATTATACAGAAACACACCCATATGTGAAGCAAACACCGCTTGATCCTAGAGATGCGTTCTACGGGGGCCGTACGGGAAATACTGTTGAGTATTACAAAGCCATGGAAGACGAAAAAATAAAATATGTTGACGTTTGCTCTCTGTATCCATGGGTTTGCAAGTACGGAAAGTTTCCCGTCGGCCACCCAAAAGTCTACGTAGGTTCAGAATGTCCTCCTCTCGCCTCCAGCTCGGGTCTTGTCAAGTGCAAGATCCTTCCTCCTCGTGATCTTTTTCATCCTGTGTTGCCTCAGAAAATGAACGACAAGTTAATGTTCGTTCTTTGTCGAAAATGTGGACAAAATCTCAATTACGAGAAATGTCAACATTCCAACGAAGAGCGAGCATTAACCGGAACCTGGGTAACTGAAGAAGTTCTTAAAGCTGTTGAAATGGGATACACAATTTTAGAAATATACGAGGTGTGGGCATATGAAACTATCCAGTTTAGTAACAATGTATCAGGATTATTTACAACTATGATGAACAAATTTATTAAGATTAAGCAAGAATCGTCTGGCTGGCCGGCAAACTGTAAAACAGACACCGAAAAAGATCAGTATATTGAACGGTTTTTGCAAAGAGAAGATATTCACCTAGAATTTTCCAAGATTGTTGATAATCCTGGCTTGAGATCATTGGCCAAACTTATGCTCAACTCGTTTTGGGGTAAATTTGGACAACGTGAGAACCAACCAAAGACATCGATTATCAATAACACTGCAGAATTCTTTAAAATTATGTCTGATCCTTCGATATATGTGAACACTGTGCTCCCAATTGGTGATGAAGGTAATACTCTGATTGTAAACTGGGAGTACCGAGAGGAGGCATCTGACTCTTTGTCTACCGTAAATGTAGTAATAGCAGCCTTTGTTACTGCACAGGCTCGTTTAAAATTGTATGACTCCCTTGAAAAATTGGACAAAAGAGCGCTGTATTACGATACAGATTCTGTAATCTATGTGTCACGACCTAAGGAATACGACGTCCCCACAGGCGAGTTTGTTGGTGATATGACCGATGAACTCGAAAAAGAAGGTCTTGGTTCATATATTACCGAATTTGTATCCGGTGGACCGAAAAATTACGCCTACAAATTTTGGTCAACTATGGAACAAAAAGAAAAGGTATGTTGCAAAGTTAAAGGGATATCTTTAACCTTAGAAGTACAAAAGACAGTAAATTTTGACTCCATCAAAGATATGGTCCTTACTCCTGATGAACCTGTTTATATAGTTGCCAAACACATTGAGCGCACAGCAGAACATGAGGTCGTAACGAAGAACATTAAAAAGAGATACCAACCAAACTCAACAAAGAGAAAGTTCCTCGAAGATCATAGCTCTGAACCATTTGGATACAAAAAATCAAAAAATATGTGAACCATCGAAGAGGTGGTACCTGATGAGTCCCACAGATTCAGTAACACAGAGTACAAGGTGACATTTTTTAGTACATTTTAAGTAAAAATTTTCACGTACAAGAAACCAGTAACTTAAATTGTTATATTGTAAATCTAGTTCTACCTTAATCTTATAATACTTTTGTATTTTTTTTTTTTGTATCTTCCAAGTAATAAGCAGTGTGTAGTTTGCAACAAATTGATTAACTTAATCACGACGTTTTGTTACATTTTTCTTGTAAGTCCCCAAAGAGAAAGTTTCTGACTCTGTACCGTTAGGGTTAAATACTAGTCATTTTTAACAATTTCACCATGAACACGAAAATCCTGGAGCAGCACCCTCGTATATGTTTACGAACATTACTGTGGAATAAGTCCAGCGAGATCGTTTACTCCAACAATCATTTTGGAGCAGCATTTCAGACCGAGTAAAATATCTTTCGGTACTTTCCAATGATGATTTTTCCATGAGGATTTGCCTACGTATCCAGACGAGTATGATCCCATTTCATGTGCATGTGGCGATTATTGCATCATTACACATTATGACGATATCAAATTACTGGTTGAAAAGAAACATGGCGTTGAATACTATTTGTGTGAAGAAGAAGTTCATGAAATTCTTGAAACTGATAAACAATTGGTGTCCAATAGAGTGGCTGCATTAGAAGAACTTAATTTCTGTTTATATTATCATTGATTTTTGTAAATCGCATGACGAATACTTCCTAATAAAATTTTTGTAATTAATGACTTGAATAAATAATATTTAAAAAAAACTTTTGTTTTATTTATTGGTGGGTAAACAGCTTCATATTTCATTATTAAACAAGATGTCTAAGAATTGAGACGTATTTACTCTGATACTTTTTAGTGTCGTAGCAATGATATTTGATAAAAGCATAACAACTCGAGATGATGTTGTTGAGTATTTACAACGTTTTGGATATATAAATAAAAAGTGAAAATGGTATTACTGATATTGACGGTACATTAAATAACGAAAACATGAGCATATTATAAATGGAATAAGAAATATTTAAAGTGGTACTTTCCGAAAGCGGAACGGCATACAAGGTATTTTGAAATAGCTAAGATGGCTTTCGCTGTATGGACTCAGAATAGTACTCTAACCGTTGAAATGTATATAAATTTATGCTACATCCAGATATTACGATTGTCGTTTAAAGGGAGTCCCCCACCTTTTACCATGATTGCCAAGGACACCACGTTTATCTTTGATGGACCATCGCTTACGTAGTTTGCATCACTTGCGTCGCTTGCATCGCTTACGTCGCTTGCAACACGCATGTGTACATGTAAACGAAGATATGAGTTTGCAACGTCGATGCTACATCGCTTCTTCTCGCGCACTTTTTTTGAATTGCTGCCAAACATTTTGTGCATGAGCATACTTCTCATCACTAATATCCTCATCATTCAGTTTAGTCGATTTTGTTATGTTCTTTACATAATGTCGTTTTCCTCGTCTAAATCCAACCAACAGTAGCCGAGATACACGCTTAGGCCCTTTTGACATTGCCACTGCGCATTGTGAATGGCAAGATGTCTCACGTAGAATACCGTTTTCCCCGTTCGAATCGGACCACGTGATACACGTTAAGGTCCTTTTGGCATTGCCACTGCGCATGTGTACTTGCATCATGAGGAATTTTAGATCTGCAAATTTTGATGACATTGTATTCTATTTCCTCCAGGTTACCTTGGAGAGATTTTGTTTACTCGACCAAAAGCCTTTACCTAAGATTTTGAAACGGAATGAAACGTAACGAAACGTAACAAAACGTAACAAAACGTCGATTTTGTTATGTTCTTTACATAATGTCGTTTTCCTCGTCTAAATCCAACCAACAGTAGCCGAGATACACGCTTAGGCCCTTTTGACATTGCCACTGCGCATTGTGAATGGCAAGATGTCTCACGTAGAATACCGTTTTCCCCGTTCGAATCGCACCACGTGATACACGTTAAGGTCCTTTTGGCATTGCCACTGCGCATGTGTACTTGCATCATGAGGAATTTTAGATCTGCAAATTTTGATGACATTGTATTCTATTTCCTCCAGGTTACCTTGGAGAGATTTTGTTTACTCGACCAAAAGCCTTTACCTAAGATTTTGAAGCGGAATGAAACGTAACGAAACGTAACAAAACGTCGATTTTGTTATGTTCTTTACATAATGTCGTTTTCCTCGTCTAAATCCAACCAACAGTAGCCGAGATACACGCTTAGGCCCTTTTGACATTGCCACTGCGCATTGTGAATGGCAAGACGTCTCACGTAGAATACCGTTTTCACCCGTTCGAATCGGACTAACAAAATATAAGCTTAGGCCCTTTTGTCCTAGACATATGATCATTGTAAATGCATACCTGTGTTGTGTGCGTTGCGTGCGTTGTGTATGTTACGTGCGTTGTGTATGTTGTGTGCGTTGCATGCGTTGCATACGTTGCGTGCGTTGCGTGCGTTGCGTGCGTTGCGTGTGTTGCGTGCGTTGCGTGCGTTACGTGCGTTGCGTGCGTTGCATGCGTTGCGTTAACAAAGATATACGTTCGATGCCCTTTTGGCCTGTCACTGCGTAGGTGGTCCGTCACTGTGCATGATTTTTCTGTACGACGTTTTTTTACATATTGACGTTTTTCCCCGTTTGAATCGGACCACGTGATACACGCTTAGGTCCTTTTGACATTGCGCATGTGCACTTGCGAATGGCTAAAGATACACGCTTAGGTCCTTTTGGCATTGCGCATGTGTAGTTGCAAATGACAAAATATCACGTAGAATGACGTTGATTATATACATCATCTTGTAAATGATTATTAAATGTCCTCGTGGCCGAGCGGTCTAAGGCGCCAACTGGTAATCTCTGGGTCGGTGGATCGATCCCCCGTGTAGTCAGATTTTTTTTAATAAAAAAAAAATGGTTTAAAAATAAAATTATATTAAATGGTGTATGGTGGATTGCTGTGATATCCAATAATGATCGTGTATAGAATGAGAGATGGATGACACGTGACTAAACAATTAAAAAGCAATTAAAAATCGATTTGCTGTACACGACACGTGACTAAACAATTAAAAATCGATTAGTAGATAAGAATTGCGTGGGCGTGGCAGGGCGGTATCAACAAAGGAAAATTTGGTTCCCACGGTCAGTAAAAAACACGTGACTAAACAATTAAAAAGCAATTAAAAATCGATTTGCTGTACACGACACGTGACTAAACAATTAAAAATCGATTAGTAGATAAGAATTGCGTGGGCGTGGCAGGGCGGTATCAACAAAGGAAAATTTGGTTCCCACGGTCAGTAAAAAACACGTGACTAAACAATTAAAAAGCAATTAAAAATCGATTTGCTGTACACGACACGTGACTAAACAATTAAAAATCGATTAGTAGATAAGAATTGCGTGGGCGTGGCAGGGCGGTATCAACAAAGGAAAATTTGGTTCCCACGGTCAGTAAAAAGTTCCCAGGCCCAACTGTCCTGACCCCTGCTTTCGCGTCACTCTTACATAGGCGCGCGCTTGGGACGGACCACTGCAAAGTATAACAAATAGAATCTTTTTTATTTTTTAGCTATTGATGCAAGTGGAAAAGGTCTACTTTATACAAGCTACATGGATTGTGTATCAAAAATTTATAAAACTGAAGGAATATCAGCTTTTTATAAAGGTGTTGGGCCTATGTACCTGAGACTGGGGCCTCACAGCGTCCTGTGTTTAATGTTTTGGGACCAATTGAATGCCATATATTTAAAACTTAAGTAATTTAATAAATATTTAAAAATGGATTTTATTTTTAATAAAAATATTAATAAAAAATATACTTTCTTCTACACTCACATGTGTATTATTCACTTTATGTACAATCTATAGAACGAATAAGCTATATCAGAGATATAATTTCATATCCATTCTAGTTAGGATATGAAATCCACCTATCATAGCTCATATTTATTATCTGGCCAACTATTCCTTTTTATAATTTTAAATTAGTGAAAATTCTGTTAGGTTGAGTGTTATTATATTTTTTTGTTTAAGATTAAATACAGGGAGTTTTTAAATTCAGGCGAAAAATTCTGAGGGAAATTCCTCGTAGAAAATTATGCGGGGTCGGTCCTATAATAAAATTTTCTCAGCTCAATTCCTTAAGACATACAGCAGCTAGCACATAACGTTGCTAAGCCTTTCGGCGATGTTGTTTTAAGGGAACGTAATAACATTACCACACAACGTAACTGCAACGTTCATGAGAAGTTGAGGGAAATCAAAACCTCGCGAAATATCTATTTGTTACTTACGTATTTAACCTGCCTGTTATGATAACACAACGTAATAAAGTAATTTGCTAAAAAGTATACACGAGAAGTACTATGAACATCATCTTGTTTACGAACGTAGCCATTCGCTTGTCATAAGTCAACAAAACATGAAAAAAATGTCACTTGTCATTTTTCTTGTGGTATGTATTTGAGAATTTAAAGAAATTGTAATTTGTAAACTATTTATACGTTTGAATATGTTTGGTAAGTTCTTTTCTTCTTTTCAATAAAATGGAAACATATTTTCTAATTTATTGTCTGTTATTTTAGATTGCAATATTTCAGTTTCCTACTACAATAAAAAATAAATCATTGTAAATGTGAAGATGCAATTAAATGACTGCCTATATTTTACACGATAGTAGGGATCTTATTGATGTCTCATTACTATAGAAGTAACGATATTAAACAATGAAAGTATCGATATTTAGGCACTGATACTGAATTACCAATACTATCGCCATATCGATACTTAGAAGTAAGTATCGTATCGCTATGTGTGTGGTCAGGGATAATAAGATTTGTTCAAATATGCGTGAAAACCGTAATATTTACGCTACAAATCATGCGCTCAACTTAAAAATTGCATACAGCCCATGATTTGTACCGAAATATTTTAGTTTTCGCATGTGGTGGAACTTGGAACAAACCTTAATACGATTAAGCGTTACCACTGTTTTTTTGTTATTTAATTATAAGGTAAAATGCCAGTTGCCAGTAAATTGACATGATAACTTATACCAGTACCAGGTAGAGTACCAGTAGAGAAAGAAAAGGTGTCAACTACAGAATATCCTTTATTGATGCAACTCTTGTTTTTAGTTAAGTTCCCCACTTTGCCCTGTTGAATGGGGGTTGTCAGCGGTTTAAAAAAATCTTTTACTTGTTCGATACTTTGTTACTCGATACTCATAGATTAAACGACTTACCTGTAAGGAAGTTCGATCTTGATCATATGAGGAACCACTTCCGCATAGACCACCATGTAGTTACGCCTCTGGCATGGAACGATCACTATTTAACAGTCAAGACAAAACACATGGCTCTCGTCGCCCTTATACCTACTATCCACAATCATTATGGTTTTTAGTTCCGAGATCGCGTTATAAATAGGGTGGGTATATTATTAGAAATAAAACACTAAAAATATGTCACCTATAATGCAATGATGGGAGGGTTGGTCTATGCGGAAGTGGTTCCTCATATAATCAAGATCGAACTTCCTTACAGGTAAGTCGTTTAATCTATGATTATATTTCGGAACCACTTCCTTATAGACCACCATGTAGATGTTTAAAGTAAACGCGATCTACGCTACATACTTACAAACAAAAATACAAAAATTAAGACCTTGTTATAAGGAATTTATTTAATAATTTTAATACATGAAATATTTATATAATGTAATTAATATAAAAATTAAATAAAATAATTCTTATTGATAAAAGTATAATCAAATAATGTAATTACAATTATATAAAAAAAAATTTTTTTTCATTTACCATTGAAATTTAACAAATACCTATCTAATATTTAGAATGGTCTCTGCGAAATTATCTCTAATCAAAATTGGTTTATTATAAAATTTTGCAAAAACATTTGACTTTGCGGACCAACCTGCAGCGTTTCGAATAGTTTCAATATTCGCCCCTGCTTTGTGTGCAGCTGAGGTTGAAGCGTGGCGGGTACTCTGACCAGTAAACTGAGTGGTATCTATTCCACTCTTTTTAAGAACCGTTTTTACCCACCTAGAAATCGTTTGAACTGACGCTCTATGATGAGGTTTTTTATGAGTTATAAAAAGGTACGTTGTATTTTGTCTAATCGCCTCCGTTTTGTTAATGTAAGCTAACAGAGTACCTGCCACACATAACTCTGGTTTTTGCTCAATAAAAGGCAAAATAATAAGTGGTTGCGATTTATTTGGCCTGGAAGTTTTAATTAAATCTGTGATCCTAAACTCAATCTGATTCTGATTATTTTTTTTTTTATATTAACAATTTGAATTTTTGGCAGGGTCTGCATTCTTTGAGCAGAGACAAGTGCTAATATCGTAGTCAACTTCAAAGTTAATTTTTCTAGCGATAGTGAATCCAAAGGAAACATAGTAGATAAATAATTCAAAACAACACTTGGGTCCCAAATTGTACTATATCTAGGAAACGTAGGTCTCATTTTAAAAATACCTTTAAAGAAACGACTAATAATATCTTCATCGTCAAACTTATTATATAATAGTTTTAATGCCGATCGATGCAAACTAAGCGAACTATAGCTACTACCTTTTTCAAACGCCAAAGTGAGAAAACGTAAAATATCCTGCATTGAAGGTTTATTTAAGTCTACTTTCGCACTTATTGTGAAATTCCACCAGATTTTTAAAGAACAATTATACTGTTTTATAGAACTATTACTTAAAGAGGATATTAGAATGTTTATTCCTGGTTCTGGAATATTTCTTCGGCGGTACGCTTCCCTGATAAGATTCCCACAACCAGGGTAATTCTTTTCCATAGCGGGTGACTTTCTCTAAAAGGTAAAAGAATTAAAGTACGGTTAGGTTTAAAATACAAGGGTTTTTTAATCAATAATTTTAAAAATATTGGGTACCAGGGTTGAGTAGGCCAATTCGGGACAACTACTATACCCTCAACTTTTTCATTAATAATTTTATTGAATACTTTTAAAATTAATGAGAATGGAGGAAATGCGTAAAAAAAATTAGGCCACCTTCTAGTAAAAGCGTCTACAAAAATTGAGTCAGGGTCTTTTTTCCAAGAAACATAGTTTCTACATTTAGCATTGGATTTTGATGCAAATAAATCTATAGTTGGTTTTCCCAATGAGTTTATTATTTTTTGAAAAGTATGTGAATTCAACGAATATTCTGTTTCTATGGACAATGATCGAGACTCTAGATCTGCCTCAATGTTGTCCTTTGATGAAATATATGATGAGAAAATCCACAATCTCTTTTTTTCACACCATTGCCATATTTCTTTAGCAATTTTATGAAGTTTTAAATACTTTACTCCTCCCATTTTATTAATATAGCTAACAGCGGTGGTATTATCAATTCTTAGCAGAACATTGCAGTTATTCATATCTTTTGCGAAACACTTTAAAGCATAGAATACAGCTAACAGCTCTAGTAGTTTATATGACAACTACGCTCATATTTATTCCAAAATCCATGAGTTTTTTCGTTATTGCAAACTGCACCCCAGCCATTAGTTGACGCATCCGAAAAAATCTCATACTGAAAAGTTTTTATTCCGAAACTAGCTTTTGATAAACTTATATTATTTAGCCACCAAGTACTCAGATAAAATCTGAGACCAAGTAAGATCACTGCGGACTTCGGATGTAATAAATATCCTACTATTGTAGTTGCCTTGATTTTTTAATAAGGTAGTATATTTTAGTCTTTCAAGGGCTTTGGTATACAACCAACCATAAATAAAGGCTGGACAAATTGAAATAAAATATCCAAGGATCTTCGCTAATTGTAGAATCTTACAAGTATCACAACGTAAACTTTTTAATATTTTCTGTCTAGCCACTATAATCTTATCTTCAGGTAATTCAATTACAAATTTGTTACTATTAAATAAAAATCCTAAAAATTTACACGATTGAACCGGATCTAACTTACTTTTATCGTAGTTAATAATAAAACCTAATTGTTGTAATGTTTTTATAACTAACTTAGTGTTTTGATAACATATTTCCTTAGAATCACTAATAATTAAAGGGTCATCCAAATACATTACAAAGAAAATACCTTTAGATCTTAAATATTGTAAAATAGGTTTGCATAGTTTTGTAAATACAAGGGGAGCAGTACACAAACCAAAAGGCAGACACGTAAATTCATATATACAATCATTAAATTCAAATCTTAGCTATTTTCTATGTTTTTTTGTTAATTGAAACTAAGAAATAGGCATCTTTTAAATCTACAGAAGACATATAAGAATTCTTAGTAATAATATCTTTGACAGATTTGAAATTTTCCATTTTAAAATGAGATAATGAAACAAAAGTATTTAATTTCTTCAAATTTAAAACAAATCGATAATAGCCATTTGGCTTAGGTACTAAAAAATATGACGAAATGAATTGATTTTTACAGGGCTTGCATTTGTTAATAGCGCCAATTGATTGCAATCGCTTTATACAATTATCATAATTCTGAAACTCTGTTATTAAACTTTCGCCTACTTAATTTACAATCCTGTTTTGGTTTCTTAATAAAAGGGATGGAATATCCATTAACCCATTTTAAAATAGTTTTATCGTTAGTTAAACGTAACCACTGATCATAAAAGTTTTGGGTTCTACCGGCATACAATTTTTCAGTTACCTCTAATATTTCTTCCTGTACGCTTCTGTCCTTTTCCATGCTTGTTTTTTGTATGGTGTTTGGTTCCGAACTCTGGGTTTGAAATACTGGCGCTTCTCGTTTAAAGACTGCTTAATTGGTTGTGTAGATGGGGAAACTGCTCGTCTATTTGGTAACTTAAAATTATTTTTCTTGAAAATCGATCTAGGTTTGGCCATCATATCCTTGTGACTCTTTTCTGTCCTTTGGGCAGTTTTAAAGCGATCATTCAAGTCTTTCCCAAATAAAAAGGAATCGTGCACTGTTTCTTCGGCTACTTTTTTTACAGTTGAATTTAAAATTGGCAATACTTCATGTTTTCTATGTTTAGAAACTAAGTAATGTGATTCACAAAAAAATTTTGCAGCCTCTACAAGGGTTGGCGTAATTTTCTCTTTCAGGTTTTCAGGAGGCTCTTCTGAAACCAGATCATTTAAGATCGCTCCTAAGGCACTAAGTCCTCTGCCTAATTTCTCCTGAATATTGCATAAATAGTTATCCTTTTTAATTCCATTTGCTGAAACCATTCCTTTTATTTCCGTATTAATATTTGGAGGATTTAAAATTGAACAATTTTCTGTAATTTTCCATTTTTCACTAAGTGAGTCCCGAGTTTTAGCGTCCAACCCTTTCGTTATATAATAAGACCAGCGGGACACAATAGCTTCATTTAGCTGGATACCCGGGTCTACTTTGATAGAAGGGTCTTCGCCTAGTAGACTTATTTCTGGAGGCACTACAACATTCTCAGTAGTCCCGAGTGAATCCTTTAATAAAGCCGTATCCTCAGTTTCACTATCAGATAAAGAGGACGACGAAGTCTCTAAGAAACGTCGGGGCCCCCTGATTCTGCTAGCAGGAGATGTAGAGGACCCAGCTTCTGCATTATTACTTGATGACTCAGAAGAGCTGGTTTCACTGTCACCTGTAGCGTCAGAAAAAGAAAAACCTGTATTTTTTTTTTTTTAATATATACCAGAAATTTTTATTTTCTAATTCATTATCACTACGCCATTGATTTTTAGGAACATCATTTTTACCAAATCAGACTATATCTAAAAATCGGTCCTTCGTAAAATTAGACCTGCTTAAATGAACAGAACCCAAAAGTGTTTATTTTATGAATTCCGAGAAGGCGATGATGATAACCAAATAACCATATGTGTAGAATTGTCGTAAAGACGAAGATGAATTAAATAATTATAATTTTGATTTCGGTATTATTATTATTGCATATGTTAAGCTAAATTCATTTTTTGATTTTGTTTATCTGTACTGTATAATTGTACATAATGGTTTACATTCATTTTATGACTTATGCGGTAAAATTGCAAGTATAGTCAAATGTTTGCTACTCTTCTGATGCGGTAAAATTGCATAAAATCAGATTTTCGCTTTATTTTTATTATTGCATATATTAATCTAAATTCATTTTTCATTTTGTTCGTCTGTGCTGTATAATTGCACATAAAAGACTACATTCATTTAATGAAATCTTGCGATATAACTGCACATAAAATAATTCATTTTATGAATTTATGCCGTATAATTGCATGCAATGTTTTACACTCATTTTATGACTTTATGCGGTAAAATTGCATATACAGTCAAATATTTAGCTACTTTTCTGATGCGGTAAAATTGCATAAAATCAGATTTTCGCTTTATTGATGTAACATTAATTATAATGTTAAGCTTATTCGCGATATTGTTAAAAAATAAAAATCAAAAACTATTATTATCAGTACTTACTTGATACTTGCTCGATCAACTTTTCAATTAATTTTCTCATTTTATTTTTCACTCTCGAGTTATCACAACTATTATCGACACGAACACGCTTTTTTGGGGACATAGTAAAATTAATACATTATAATAGGTAGGTACGTAGAGGGTTGTTCTAAATCGTTCCGCACTAAAAAGCATAATGATTGTGGATAGTAGGTATATAAGGGCAACGAGAGCCATGTGTTTTGTCTTCACTGTTAAATAGTGATCGTTCCATGCCAGAGGCGTAACTACATGGTGGTCTATAAGGAAGTGGTTCCGAAATATAATTATAAATATCGATATTTTTAACATAATATCGAACATTAAGTGTAAGGGGTTAAAGAAAAGGTCCTTTATTTCTCACAAGTCAATTTAATTGGCGACCGGTTTCGAAGCTGTCACTTTATCATCAGGCACACCTTGACTATTTCCATAAATTGACTTGTGAGAAATAAAGGACCTTTTGACAAGGGGGGTAGCCATGTGTGAGTTGAGGTAATTTTAAGGTGAAGGGGGAGAAAAAGTCCTTTATATCTCACAAGGAAAGTCAATGTTTAATTATTTAACAAAACATTGAGTGCGACCGGTTTCGAAGTGTCATCACTTCATCTTCAGGCTCGCCTAGTGGAAAGGAGAATATGTGGTGTAAGGTGTGTTAACACTTAGAGCAAACGATATATAAAATAGTAAAAAAGAGAAAACTCACCATACTCTCCATCCACTAGGGAATACTACAAAACAAGTTTCATCAAATGTGGGGTGAAATAAATTGTAAAATGAACAAAGTTTACAAGTAATAAAAAGTTAAAAATATTTGAAAAACAAATATTAGTCAATTGAAATAGTAAAATTTAAAATATTCAAGACTATACAAAACAAATCACATACATTAAACAGATTAAAAGATAAGGCTTATTTTAAACAACCTTGTTTTTTCAAAAAACTAACATTTTTGAAAGGAGACCTGTCAAGTTAAGGCCTCTACAGGTGGTGGCAAGTATTAACAAAAAAAATCTTGGGTAAACCCATGACAGGGTATAGGTAATAAGATGTAAACTATGAGTGAAGAAATATTTATTATTTATTATATAAGATTTGGGCCATGAACCAATCACCAAGTGTATGTGATGTTGTAGGAAGAAGAAAGAAGAAGAAATGACTGGGTTAACTGTTGTGAAGTAACTGAAGAATAAAAGTTCACACCAAGATCATTTATAGTTTGCTCAACACTTAGTTCAGAACCTGCAATGACATAATCATGCATAATGATAGCTGTTTTATTAAACCTTATGACTTTACATTTATCGATATTTAGTTTAAGCAAGTTATATCATATTAAAACTATGATTAGTACCAGTTGTAGGCAAATATCTTTTTTTAGCATCATACAACTGCCATCTTAATAAAAATCTAGTTACCTTTGAAATATACCTACTTTTGTAAAATCGTTCACCATTTTAGCTACTAGTGAACCTTTGCAATATAGGTACCTTATTATACTCTTTCGTGCAAGTGTTCAGTGTTTTCGATTCTAGTGAACCTTTGAGATATTCCTTATACATATACCCCTTTATACCTACTTTTGTCCAATTTGTCAGTTTTTGTTACCTATATTATTAATACCTACCTCTACTTGTATGATATTGGTACTTGATTTCAAAAGCTTTTTAATAATAAATTTATACAATTTTTTATTTTGTTTTCTTCAGATTTTACTATATCCTCAATTTACTATTTTGAATATAATTAATAGTGTATCCAAGGATGGACATAACTATACTATACTATATTTATTTTAAATTTTTCAAAAGAGGTCTTTTTCATAATTTCTCAACGTTAATCGTATTTATTTAATAAGCAAAATAAATTGTAAAGAAGTAATTTTAAATTTGAAATAAATATTTTTACATTAAGTCCATCCATGGACACACTGTATAATGCTGTAGAATGAATTCACATTATAACATCTATAGAAAGTTTCAGAGCAACTTTCGGGGTAAGTACGGTAAAAGTGCTAGTGTGATGTTTTTCGAACTTCACTTTATAAACTCTACAAGATGTGCTATAAAAGTCTTGCCGTTGCGGACATTCGGAGGTTGCATGGATATTAGGGTTACATTAAAAGTACATCGCATGCATCTTAAAGAGCCTAAAATTGCAGCTTATTAACGTAGATGGAATGTTTTTGTGCTAGCTGGGAATGTTGTAAAACATTGGAAAAATTAGTCATCTAAGAACTCTAATGCAAGGTACATACCAGGAATTTAGTAATAAATGGAATCTACAGACCATGCCTTTCTAATGTAGATACTTTTATAACAGTCCTAGGGACTTACTTAATAGCGGGCGGAAGTCCCTTGTTTGTATAGTTGTCGAATTCGCTTGATACGAGCTTCGAGTTGTTTTTAAAGCGGTTGCTTCTTGGGTGTGTAGAACTTCAATCGAACGGAAGTCCTCTTCTTCTTAGGTTTGAGTATGGAGAACTTCAATCGAACGGAAGTTCTTTGGTTGTATAGTTGTCGAATTCGCTTGATACGAGCTTCGAGTTGTTTTTAAAGCACTGGTGCTTCTTGGATATGGATAACTTCAAGCGGGCGGAAGTCCCTTGGTTGTATGGTTGTATGGTAGTCGATTTCGCTTGATACTAGCTTCTATTTCGTTTTAAAGCAGTTGTTTCTTGGATTTTGGCTTGGATTTGGTCAAACTTTTTATTGAGGTTGGCAGAAAGACTTCATTTTCTTGCTCCTTCCATAGGTTTTTTCAAAATTTTTAAACTTTTATTCGAAGGACTATGAATAGATTTCAAAGATGAATTTTATAATTAATACCACAAGATAGATTTGGTTTTAAAGCGTTGTTTCTTGGATTTTGGTTGGATTTGTTCGAAATTGTGTTATTGAGGCTGGCAGGACTTAATTTTCTTGTTTTTCTTCATGTTGAAGTTTGCTTCTTCAATAGGTTTTTTCAAAATTTTTTAAACTTTTGCTCGAAGGACCATGAATGGATTTCAAAGATAATTGTTGTAATTAATACCACAAGATGGTTTCCATGAATCTCATTTTAGAGATAATTTTCGCGCGAATTTCGAAACGTCGGCCGGGCGCGCTCTTTTTTCATTTACACGCTCGTCCCACTCACCTCCTAACCACTACAGAAGACAAAGTAGTATTCTAGTAACACATTCCATGCGCATGCCAGCCCGTGAATATTCCCAAGAAGACAGCAACGACTTCTCGTAGGGTGGTGGCTTCGCTGTCACCAGAAAATACCAACCCATTCCTGGCTACGCCGACCGGCATGGACTTAAACGGCCTGGACACAGCTCAAATTGAAATGAAAAGTCAACTCATACTCGTATTATCATCTGCGCATGCGTAAGCATGAAATGTTTTAGATGTAAAAAGGGCGTGTTTGCTTCGCTTGATCTCTACTGTACTTGTCAGGACGCACATGGGATGAGTAGATGGAAAAAGCGCGCCCGGTCGACGTTTCGCCGCGCGAATTTCGAAACGTCGGCCGGGCGCGCTCGCTTCGCTCGTTTGCTCCTTTAGTGGTTAGCAGGTGAGTGGGCGGTGCTACCAGCGAAACGTGCTCTTACGTTGTAGGTGTAAAAATGGCATTTGCGAATTTCGAAACATTAACCAAACACGATCGCTTCTAAGATAGGACGTAGGAGGACGAGCGTGCTTTTATGGCATAGGTGTGTCAAGGAACTTTTTTATTTTTTTGAATTATGATAGGTTTACAAAAAGTATTTTGGATTAAAAATGTATAAAATAAATCAAAGTTTAGATATGGCAACCCTGTGGGCGTTGTCATTGACGGAGTCGATGATAAATATATAGTTATATAGATTGCTCAAAGCGTGTTGTTTGCGAGCGGCCATATTGCCTGGCAAGTCTCCATTAATTTGAATCGATTTAGGAAAAATGTATTTTAAAACCAATTTCCAACCTTAAGGTACAGTTACATCTGCCATTTATTGCATGATATTTATGTCTGACAGTTGTTTATTCCAGTGTAAACACTCAAAAATATATGTCCGAGAGAAATTTTTGTGTGTTTACACTGGACTGAATAACTGTCAGACATAAATAACATGCAATAAATGTCAGATGTAACTGTACCTTTAGAATATATTAAAAGTATAATTTCCTACATTTTTACTTTAAGGCATAAGCACAGATTACCCAGATGCGAAAGTTGACAAGGAACATCAAAATTAAGAGAGAGATAAATGGCCATACCCATTTAAAGGTCCCTCATAGCAACTCGTTTCCACTCGCGTAGTTCCGAAGGCAAAAATTATTTTATTATGCAAAGTTGCCGATGCTCCTAAATTTTCTGATGTTATGTGACAATGGAATTTAAGTCAAATTAAAATGTACATACATTTTTTAGTTACCCCCATACTTTGATTTTTTAGTATGTGGTTACCCCAGACGTTACATACAAATAACGTATAATTAAAATCCGCTAAACAAAAATAATACAAAACCATTTAAAGGTTTATAGTTTACATTTATCAATGACAATCAATGACACTTTAAAAAACTCGTGAAATTTTAATTTTTTATGTGACAACCTTGCTTAGGATGCTGTAAGTGATGACATTTCTGTGACATTCAGGACAATCAGGACCGGTCGTGACGTTTTGCGTTGTGTGCATTTTTGGACAAAAATATTGTGTATTTGTGTCTAAGTCTTCTTCTGTAAAAAAATCATGAGTGAAACGAAGAATATACGTCGTGGTGGCATTTGGGCACTTATAAAATGTCTTCGAATTCATAGCTGTAAATGTATGAACACTTCTCTACTGCAACTTTCGTTTTAGATAGCAACAATATTTTTATACATTTGAAAGGTTATGATATCAAATCATTATTTTGAAGTCTAAAAACACCAACCGAATGTTTTTATGAGTACATTTATCAGTTGGAATATTGCAGTTTTTAAAAAAAATGGAAAATTACTTACCTTGTCCCACACTTGGAAATAATTTTTAACCTTCAGCTGGCCTCGTGGGGTACGTACATACCCCACGCTCGTTCTCGTCGATTTTCGATATCTAAATCTTCGAAATCGAAACTCGTAACGACATCTATCGGTAGTCAAGGGATATACTTTTATACCTAGGCCATTTTT